GCAGCGAAGGCTAAATGTAGAGGAGAGGTAAGATCCCGCCATCCAGAAGGACGCATACTTGGAAATAGAAGGGGAAATAGGGGAGAAAGAGATTGAAGTGAAGCCTGTAACAATCTGGACATCCAGCGCGGGACCAAACCAGGTGGGGACCGAGGAGCGCGGACGATAGGTTGAAGCCAACGAAGTTGTAGAGCGCTCTGCTGCGTCTTAGTATCGATGATACCAAGTCCACCTTGCATGCGTGGGAGGCAGAAAGTATCCAAAGAAATCGGGGGGAAGGTGCCACGTTGAAGGAAGCTACCCATGATGGACCTGATCTTCTGAAAGAAGGACATAGGTAGAGAGACCACACGCAAAACATGCCAAAGCTGAGAGAGTATGAGAGATGTTAGAACGGTGGCTTTACCCCGAAAGGAGAGACAGCGAGATGAGTGAAGATTGCAGCTGTCCTCAATCCTTTGGAGAAGAGATGAGCAGAACGAGTCCCGTTGAGCCTTGGAGTGAATCAATGGAAAGCCAAGATAATGGAGAGGTGCGGGCGAGGTGCGGGCAAGGTGCGGGCAAGGTGCGGTCATGCCAATTGGTAATGTTATGACAACGGAGGGTGGAGGTCCAATCGGGGAGAGGACTACCAGATAGTGAGAAAGCTTGCGTTTTGTGGAGGTTGATACGCGCATTGGACGCAGCAGAATAGGTGGTGAGATGTGTGTGGAGTCGAGCAAGGTGAGCCGGATCTGGGAGAAATACCAGAAGATCGTCGGCATAAGCTAGAAGTTTAATAGGAGGAATAGTAGCCACACTATCAGGGACAGAAGGTCGAAAACCGAGGAAGGATTGATCACTTATAACCCGTCGCAACAAAGGTTCAAAAGCCAAATTAAACACGATGGGAGAGAGAGGGTCGCCTTGACGGAGGCCACGCAATTGTGTGAGAGGGCGAGATAGGAAGCCATTAACGTTGATCTGAATCTGTGTAGAGAAAAACAATTGGGTGATACAAGTTATTATAGATTTAGGAAAGCAAAAGTGATCGAGAACTCGGCGCAAGTATTCTGGGTGGACTCGGTCGTACACTTTCTCCTGATCAAGAAGAAGACCCACTCCAGTCGAGCTTTCCTGAAGTGCCTGAGCCATGACCATCCGGGTGAGCATCCCATTATCAGCAATAAATCGTCCTTGAACAAAACCAGTTTGGTAGGGAGTGACAAGAGGAGTGGCAGCAGAGATCAAACGAGAGTTAAGAAGACGAGTGAAGACCTTAGCATCAGTGTTGATAAGTGCGATGGGTCGCCAATTCCGAAGGGAGGTAAGGTCGCCTTTTTTCGGGAGAAGACACACGCAGGTGGACATCCAAGTGGGGGGAAAGACACCATCCAACAAAGCTTTGTTATATACACGCGAGACAAGAGTGGAGCATTTGGGGTGGTCAAGTATGAGTCGCGGAATCTCGTATGGCAATCCGTCAGGATCAGGGCTACTGGCATTGGGGAATCGAGAGGCACCTTGACAAATAGTGTCGAGGGAAAATTTGCGAGTGAGGCAATGTTGAGTGAGATCAGTGAGGGCAAGATTGTCAGGAAGATTCTGGAGAAGATCGTCAACAGCAGCAGAAGTGATGGGCTCAGGAGAGTAGAGAGTCTCATAGAAGGCGGCAGCAGCCTCCATCATGCTGTCAGGCTCAGTGCAAAGATAGTCGGTAACAGGATGGCGTAGGCTGGTGATGAGTTTTTTGGACTGACGTGTAGCAACGGTGCGTTTAAGGAAACCGGCAGAGGTTTCACCCTGTTCGCGCCATTGTCGGCCAGCCCGGAGAACAAGAATTTCTACGCGTTCCAGTTGAACCTGTTGGAGCTTGCGTTCGATTACAGGAAGCTGAAAGTTCTGGGCAGGTTGATGGCGAAACCGAAGAATCAACTTATCATGCCGACTTTGAAGTTGTGCTTCTAGAGTGGACAGGGAAGGTGAGATTCGACGAGAGAAACGTTTAATGAATCTAGTCACTTCAGACTTGACTAAATCCCAGTTTGTCTGTGGGGAATTGGAGGCGGGGAGAGTGGGAACAAAGGTGTAAAGAAAGACAGAAAGTTCGTCCTGGAAGGAAGTGAGCTGAGCAAGGCGAGGGTTCGCCCGCCAAAGGCCTTTACCACTGGTCTGAGAAGAAGGAAGGGAGAGTGCGACTGTGACCAGACAATGGTCAGACCACTGTGAGTGTATATATTCCACCGAGTGTGAGGTGACACAAGAAGCAAGGTCGGAGGAGGCGAATATGTAGTCAATTGTGGAGGATGATGTCCCACGGTGAAAGGTAGGTTGAGGTACCTTGCCGGTGGGAGTCACACAGTCCACAAGGCGGTCAGTGAGAAATTGAAGCCATGGGCGAGGTGGAGTGCTATGGGCGGTGGTAGTAGTGAGTGAGTGATTGAGGTCGCCCAATAGAATCATATTAGTGGGTGACGCGGGTATCAAGAGAGGATTGTGAAGAAGAGAGGTGAGGAATGAATGTCGTTCGCAATAAGTAGCAGGAGCATAAATGACACAGATACGGAAAGAGTTGAACATAGACTGTGCGTGAGATACCGTAGCAGTGATGCAGCGGCCGCATATACTAAACAATGGATCAGTAAGCATAATATCTTTTGAAAGGCATACAAGTCCACAATGAGGAGACCAAAGAGAAGAAGATTGGAATTGCATAGTAAATGTGTCTTGAAGAGCAATAGAGTGGGCATGGGTTTCTTGAAGGGCGAGGAGATCAATTCCTTTCGAACGTAAGCGGCGTATAAATAATGAGCGTGTTTCGGGTCGTCCCACCTTGGGGAGGCCTCTGCAGTTCATAGTTCCAATGGTAATCATTGGTTAGATTTGGCCTCTGCGCCGAGGGCTTGACGGGTGAACCGGGGTGGAGGGGAGAGCGAAGAGTTACAAGAGGCAGTGTTCCTGCGTGTGGGGGACGTGGAAAGACTGCGTCTCGTGTTGCGGTTGGGCGTATGTCGGGTAAGACGACGTACTCTTTCAGTTTCAGTAGCCTGAATAGCCTCCAGGAGAGCCTGCTCATCGGTGGCCTTCTCAGGCTCCTGTTGCAATTGGGCTTTGTCAGAATTTACCTGTTCTGGAAGGGCGTCGAGCATTGTGTCGTCTTCAGGATCTACAATATAGGCGGTGTTGTCGGATGGTGTTTCCTCTTCAGCATGGTTGACTACCTTGGCTTTGCGTTGTGGTTCAATCGGCAGAAGAGAAGATGAAGCTTTGTTAGCCGGATTGTGGATGGAATCCGCAGATGTACCAGTGGGGAGATTAGTTGTCAGGGGGCGGGGCAGCACAATGCAATCCTGGTGAGGAACACGGTTGAGGTGGCGAGAGCGTTTGTTAGTGGTTGCTGACCTACGAGCAGGTTCGGAGACGTGGGGACAGTTAGCTTGCAAATGGCCAGGCTTGTTGGAGCTGTGACAGGTGCGTGTTTCTGAAGAGCGTGCAGGGCAGGCATCGATGTTGTGGCTTATTTGTTTGCAGTATTTGCAATGGGAGCCCATATGTGCCCATTCTCCAAGGATGGTAGTGTTGTTGTTGTAAGAAATCTTGTAGGCAAGCTTGGCGACTTGCTGAGCTGGTGGGTCGGGTCGTTCAAGGAGGACACTGCCAGTGCCATCGAAAAAGGTATAACTCTCGCGGACCACAATTTCGTGTACAATTCCAAAAGGGGCAAGGCACCATTGAAGTCCAGTTACTAAATCAGGATAACGAACACCAGGGAGTCGAGACAATGTTACCCGATATACCTTGCGACCAGGAGCAACGGCAATACAGACTGGGAAGTGTTGATCAGAAACGGAAATAGGATGCGCGCACGCAATAGCACAGGAAGCAGCATCAAGGAATTGGACCTCGAGAGCAGTAGGAGCAGAACGACTGGGAAGAGTACCTTTTACGATAGAGTCTGCAAAAGCAGAGCTTTTCAGGGCATGCCAGAAGGCATTGTGGAGAGGAGAAGTGGGAAGAGGAGCGTTATAAAAAACAGTGTGGGGTGCGGTACCAGCACGCCAGATACGTGGTAACCCATCAATGGAATCGCCATATATGATATGAGGTTGGTGAGGAAGAAGAGCAGTAGGTGCGAGAGTAGAAGCGACCGAGTACGTGCGTTGTGAGGTGGTGGGGCTGGATGGGGTGGTGGAGTGAGGTGAGGGTGAGCCGAAAGTTGAGGGGGGGTCCCCAAGTAGATCCGGTGGAGTAATGGGAAGAGCCATGTGTGATTGGATTAGATGCAAAAACAATCTGAGATCCCACAAATCGCATTTGCTGGAGAATCTACGAGCGCGTATATTTGATACGAGTGCGTAGAAAAGCTACGAGCCCAGAGTTATAAGCTCTTCATATTTGAGTAGTTCTATTGGCTGAAAAATCTTCCCCGACATATCTATGAGCGCGTATATTCGATACGAGTGCGTATGAAAGCTACGAGTACGGAGTTATAAATGCTGCAATTTACCACAGTGTATATTCTTTTTTGTTTGTATGGAGCTGTGACAGGCTCAGATTTATTAAAGTTCTCTGAATGAGACAGTGTATATTCGATACGAGCGCGTATAAAAGCTATGAGTACAGAGTTATAAATGCTGCCATTTACCACAGTGTAGGATTCATAGTATTTTGTCCAAGAAACTGGGCTTGCTTTAAAATGCTAAATAAAATATATACTACATTTATTTTTTTATAGTACAAAAATAAACTCAGAGCTCGATATCACCACGGGAGATTTTCGATATCAAATTTGGAAATATTTTACTCACATACATTTTGATTGGTCTATATAACCCAGATTAATCGGGATATCGAATTTGACCCATTTTATGAGACTTGTCAACTACATAAGGCAATTTTAAAAGGGCAAGTATCCATAAATGGACCCTCTCAATATTTTGGCAAAACCGAAAAATGACTTGGTGAAAATCACAATTTTTTTTATTGAATAATTTTTTTTATTAATAAAGATAAAAAAAAAATCAATACTGTCGATTCGAAAACAAGGAAACAAAGAACCAGTAGGAGCCAAATTTACTGAGATTGATGACAAGCTTGTTGTTAAATTCTGTGTGCATATCAAGCTTACATACAATCTTCAGCTGATCGAGTGGAGTAGATGCATCATTGGAAACCTTTTGCGCGAGGAGGTAGTTGTTAACTTGAGCGTGGGGACTACTCTCAACTCGATAGTGTTCTACTCTCAAAGAGGAGACCTTTCCAATAAATGGATGGGCATGTTGGTCTCTACTCTCCTTGAGCATGAACACCACAAAGGTATTGTCACAGAGTGCTTTTGCTGTAATGTCATCAGTGTCGTTATTATCAGCAAAGTCTCTTGATCCACTAAACAGGATATTCTTAACATTGTCGTTAAAGTTTTCTTTAAGAAATTCTGCCGTGGAATTACCATACTTCTCTCTCATTTTGTCTTTGCTCACCCATGAACCACCATCAATGATGTGTCTCATTGCAGATTGCTTGGCGAACTTGAGACATACATCTCTTGAGGTGTTTAACCTATTGGTATGCATTAGGCGTTCACGGATGTGTTTGTTAAACTGCTCACCTTTTTCGGTCTCGTAGTGTAGAGCAGTTCCAAATCTTCGTAGATCGTCGGGCAGATGTGTGAGCAGGTGAACCTTGGGCTTCGAGGAATACGGATTATGTCCTTCGATTTCACAGGTAATGACATAATGATGCAGTTCTTGGATAAGGCTTGTAACTGCCTTTTCAACTTCGTCGATGTACATATTATAATCATACCTTACTGCTCTAACAAACACCAAGGAGCAAAGACGGCCAAGACGGACAAAAGATGGAGTTATGAGAGAGAGTATACTATCATTTGCAAATTCTGTAACTAAGATAGCGGGTAGAATTTGCAGAAGAACTTTGTAATCCCTCCCGAGGAATGAGCCACAGTGTCGTAACTCTCGAGTGAACTTTCTTGACATTCCTTGAGAGTTTTCATAATCCTTGAGGGCTTTGGACAATCTAGCCATTTGGTTAGGATTTTTCTTTAGTACAACCTTTACCAAATCATTGACTAGATACTTAGCAACTCCAAGAAGTATGTTATGCAGAACTTCAACTGGAGTATCTGTCGATGGATCGAATGACTGTAGTTCCAACAATGCATCTGTTGCCCTATTTGCGAAGCATAGGTCGCTTGCTGTCAGAGCATTTCCAGTCAAAGGAGCATCTGGAATAGTCGATCCACGTCCCGAGGTAGACGCAGCAGCAAGATAGTGTGCCTTTGTTCTTGCTGTGTGTCTACCAGTATAATACGAAGAGCTTTGGAGGTTGGGCATGAATCTTTGTAAACGGACATAACATTTGCGGCATGGGTACAGACTTGTCGGCGCGCGCAAACCACATAGTTCAGAATGGCATGGAGTGTCTGCCTCGATCCAAAGGAGTGGTGATGCTACTAAGACGTTTTCGTTGTCTTTGGCAGAGAACATCACCAGTCCGTTTTCGAGCCTTTTGAAATCTTCAACGATTTTAGGCAACAAGGACATCCCACTTGCCCCCTTTTTCTTGGGAATAGCAGAGAGAAAGTGGATGTTTTCAATTGAAGACCTCTCTTCGTAGGAGAGAGCAGCAAACTTCATTGACCAGCTTTCGTACGGGTTATATTGCTTTGATCGGTTTCCGGAGGTGTCGTCGGTGAAGAGTATAATGGGCGATATCCTCACCTTGTAAAACAACTTTGGATCGATCGGCTTTCCGGTTTCGTCTAGTACGTGCCGTTTTAAGAAATGAGGCTCTTCCAGCAAGAACTTGTGTCTGAGAATCAAATGAAAGACTTTCCTGGGTGAGATGCTGTAGCATAGAGCAATATCAACAGGGGTCAAGTCAACACCAAGAAGAGTTTCAAGCTTTATGCTAGTAGATTCAACTTCAATGCCAATGAACTGACTGCCTTCCAGAATATAAGCCATGTAGCCTTGAACAAAAATGGCTGAGTTATCTATGGTATGGAATGATTCTACTAGGAAACAAGCTGGAGTGGAATCATTCATAAAGTTAACAATATCACCAGACCAAAAATCTACGCCGTTGTGGGTGAACATAGGTTGTTGATAGTACCAATGTGTTCTCCACTTTTCGCCTTGTTGTAGACAAATGGACTGGTTAGGAGTGCGGTCAGGGAGGGAAAACATGTTTCTTGCTTTCTTGGGGTTGGCAGCAAGAAACCGGACGTGGTCTGAAGGCAAGTTGATATAAGCAGACGTGGTATTGTTTTCCGGCAACTGGATATCGACTTTTGTGGATGGAAATACAGGAATCTTGGACTTTTTCCTGGTCTGATAGTTCAAGAGGGCATCCAAACGAGGTAACTTGAACGGGGACTTCTTTCGGATAGCTTCCTCGTGAAGCTTAAGGACAAGACTTATGGTAAACAGGATCTTTTTCAAGATCCTGCGAGATACCATGTCTTTATCGCCATCAACAAAGGCAAGTAGTACCATAGACTGGAGATCCGGGAACGGGTGGGTGTCTGATGTATACTGGTTCCATGTCGTATGCGATCCAGTTGCTTCTCTCAGTAAATCGAGATCTGCATCCAACGATGAGCTGGTATTGGATGCAGAAGACAACATACTATTTCTTATATGCATGTATAGGTGGTTACCTGGACTTGGACTTTCAAAGGGGCTGGTGTCCTCATCCATCTCGATAATACTTTCACCGGCATCGAGTTCAATCTCGCTAACATTATCGTCGCCATCGCTGTTCATGTCGTCAACATCGCTGCTGTCGTCATCCTCCAAATCGGATTCAACGTGTAGGTCTTCGTTAACGGAATCGTCATTGTGATCAGGGGCGGTCGGCTCGGCAGTGTTCGTGGTCTGTCTTTGTGACGCTAAATTTCTATCGGCATATTGAGGGCTAATATCGTTAGCAATATGAGTTGCTAACTTATGATATTTGGTAAGGTGGCGTCGTAGATTCCATACGCGATCGAAATCTTTTCCACAAAGTGAGCAGGTCTTTCCGATATCGTCAAAGGCAAAATTGTGTTGACCTGGTCCTTTGGGAGCAGAAACTACCACCCTAGAATTTTTTGGGTAATTAATAATACGCTGCATCACAGAGCTTTCGTGATGCAACGTATTGTCTAACGTGATAAAGGAGTATAGACGACCACCATATATTTATTTATTTCTGCATCTTGAAACAACAAGTCGATTTCTTTCAGGAACCAATGAAAAGTGTTATTCATGTAACCAGTAATAAGCGTATAATGGTCTTCAAAAACCAATGAAATTCATTAATTTGTTACAGTTTAGCTTGACACAAAAAATAAACATTGAGTGCCTTTTTTTGTTTCATACAATTTTTTTTCATTTTTCTAAAGATCAGGCAACAAATGGCACATGATCTTGCTACTCATTAGCTAATTATACTACAGATCAACTCTGATCCTCTCACATGATTAAGATCTTAAAAGGTATTGCTAATGATGTGATTCTATTACGAGTTCTGATTAATAAAATCTAATTGAAGTATAATAGGGCATGTGAATTCTTGACATAAAAAGGTATGTAAAGAATCTTGCTCGTATACTGATTTTATCCATACTAACATAAACATATGTCTTCTTCTTTTTTGCTTTGTTTTTTTTGTTTTTGTTTTTGTTTTAGATTCAATTAATATGTGGTAAGTCATCTAAAACATAGTAATCTTCATCAAAAGTCCATGTACTAATGACCTTTGTTTTTTTTGCAGGTTTGACATTTTCGCTCGGATTTGAAACGTGTCCTTCCAATAGCTTCTTTGCTTTTATTTTAAAAGCATTAGTATGGTTTTTGCTTTCAAACATGCAATTGGGTTTTTCAAAATTCTACTTGCTTTTGTTTCTGGAAACATTTTCAGAATAGCTATTAAATATTTCTAGCTGCTAGTGCAAGCATACCTACCCTACAGTAGCAGCTACTGCAGGGTAGGTATGGGAAGCCTAAAATTATCTACCCCCAATATTTTCAACCCATAAAAATAAATAAAATCGTATTTTACCAGCCAATTTTTTTTTTGCGATCCCATTTATCAATTTTGCGATTCTTTCGGACCTGAAACTTCAATGAAGAAGCTATTCCCAAAATGGTAACATAAACTCACGGGCTGAATTACAAAATTGTTACACGAAAAAATCTACCGTGGTGATAGTGATACTGGTGGATTCAAATTATATCACTATCACTATATCGAAAAATAGTGATAATAAGCAGGCACGGACCCAAATTTTCCAAAAAATTATTACTATATCAAGCTTTGACTGTATAATGTGAATTTATTCATTGCCTTTGATGTCCCAGTGGTGGTTTATCGGGTCTTGTCTTAATTGAAGAGACGAATCTTTGTTCCTGATTTCTCTCCGTCTTTCAAATAAAGCATTAAAGACATCAATGTCTGTGTCTCTGCTGATCGTTGCAATGTCTTCCGGGTGGTAAGGAGACAGATTCTCTAACCCATGCACCCCACGTTCATCTTCTGCTATCATGTTATGCATGATAACACATGCACACATTACCTCAGTAAGATTTCTTACTCTTCAAATTCTTGCAGGATGGCTCAGGATAGCAAATCGAGTCTGCAACACACCGAAAGCTCTTTTCATATCTTTTCTACAGGCTTCCTGTTGGGTGCAAAAGTACTATTACAATTATATATATTTAGCAGAGTATATATACATTTTCTGTTGTTTATTCACCTTTTCCTTTATTGTGGTAGCCTGTTTGGGTGCTGCCACAAGGTTGCCATAGCTGGGGTATATACCATCAACAAGGTAATATCCCATAGTATATGTATTGCTTTTGATGACAAAAGGTATATTATGAGTGGCTTCTTGGGTATATGGCCTGAACAAGGGACACCTATCCAAAACATTGATGTCGTTGAGTGTCCCAGGAAGGCCAAAAAGCAATTCCAGATCCAAAGATCATGAGACGCAACAGCCTCAAGGATAATTTTCGGCACCTTCTCTTTGCCCTTGTACTGCCCATGGTAGGCCGTTGGACAGTTCTTACATGTCCAGTGCATGAAGTCAAGCGAGTCAAGCATTCCTGGGAACCCGTGTTTCTCCCCTTCTTCGTAGAGACTCTCTACATCTGCAGGCGTAGGAGTACGGAGGAACTCTTCGCCAAAGACTTCGCACACTCCTTGGCAGAAATGGTGGAGGCTCTTCAGGTTGGTGCTCTCACCCATACAGCAACAAAAACAACAGCAGCAACAAAAACAACAACAAAAAGAGCAACCCACAAAACAAGAAAGACAGCAACGCAGAAGCTGGCCAAATGTCATATGCCACACAAGCAAAGAAGGGCATAGATGCCAAGCAGGCCAAGCAGAAAGTACAAATCCGCAGAGTCCAGGGACAACGACTCCTCCAAAAACCCACTGGCCCATCTGAGTACGAATTTGTCTACCTCCCGGCCAAACGATACATTAAGTACCAGGAAATGAGAAAGATCCTCAGTTCCTTCAAGATCCCCACTTCCCGCATCCTTGACATCCAATTCCCGGCCAGAGGGACAGTGGCTCTCCTCGTTAATGGAGAGTTCCGTGAAGAGCTCATTGCACTGCTTGGAAAAGCCAAGGTTGTCCCACTGGGGAACTTTGATCTGACCGCAGCAGACGTAATCGCAGATCCCAAGTTGATGGAAGAGGCCATCAAGGTTATGGCAAGAAAAGCCCAGGACCTATTCGACGCACGCCTGGTCAAGGCAAGTCTCTGCATGACAACATACCTTGGTCACGGTGTCACCCGCAATTTCTCGTCCAAAAAGGCTGTAGTAAAGATTTCGGAGACTGCAGTATCTGACTACCTGGAGGGCCGAAAAACTACCAGCACCACTGCCCCTGTAGCCCCAACCAACGACATGGACGGCATAGAATCCACCAAAACGCCAATCACTACAACACATGAATAGACTGAAGATCGGTTTATTCAACGCCAATAGACTACGGCCCAAATTGGTGAATGTGATAGATGCTTATGAGACGAACGATATTGCTATTCTTTTTGTTGCAGAGACTTTCCTGCCTGAGAGCGCCTCTGCTCTCCAGTGCCCTTGGACCCAGATACACAACTTTGCCATTCCAAAACGTCACCAGAGCCAATGGATGGCATCTCGCTACTTATAAGGCCAGATTTTCCTCATCATGTACACCCCCTTCAAATCATTAACCCCCACGTTGTCTCATGTAGGATCGATCCCTATACTATACACTGCGTATACCTCCTACAACAATTGACATCCTATGAGTGTCAAGAGCGGCTGGCATTGTTACCCGTCGAAGACTTTACCATTGTTTGTGGCGACTACAATGCTCAACTACACCACACAACTGGGGACACTTGAGGAGGACCACGAAGTGAAATTATGGCAAACTGAATTAGCAGTAAGGATTTAATATTGTAGAATTTGGAGTTGACCTTTGGCATCCCAACATACAAGAGAGTCCATACATCTGGCAGGGTCTTCAAAAGTATTATCGATTTCTTCTTGTTGCGAGAGAAGCAATCCCATGATATTCAGATGAAAATCCATGACGAACTCGCCTTGGACTCTGACCACCACCTTTGTGAGCTATCCTTTCAGCCTGTGTTCATACCACAGCTCCCAACAGAAAACTCTGTCTGTCGACTTTGGAAGCTTCAATGATTGGAAATCGAAGAGGTCTACAAAAAATACCAAAGACGATTTGAAGTGGGTTCAGGTACACTTCAACGAGAGATCCAACAAACTCTGGAAGACACTTCAATATCGTGCCCTGTTGTTTTGGAGGCCTATTCAGAACGTCTCAATGAGACAATCTATAAGGCTTTGGATGATTCTGTTGGGCAAGCGTAACCACGACCAAAAGTTTGGAAGAACTTTTGGAATGCCGAGTTGCAATACCTAGCTGACTGGTGTCAAGAACTTTACCATTGGTGACGCCGGGTAGGCAATAACTTTGAACGCATTAAAGCTCATGCTGAATATGTAGCAGCAAACCAAGATCTGCGAACAGCAGTCCGGGTGGCACGACTACAAATCTGGTACGATTTCTACAACACAATCCAAAAGGCTCCTTCAGAGATGGTGAGCGCGTTAAAGAGAATGAAGATTTGGCAACGATCTCCGGTTTCTCCAACATCTCCAGAAGGACCACTTACAGCCGCTAATAACACGATCGACCACCTTGAGAATGTTTTTGTTGGATCTACGGAAATACAGATTGAACAGGCGGTTACACCAATGGAGAGGGAAGTACCATGGGACGTAGACCAAGTCAAAGAAGCTATTCGTTGTTTGCCACGACAGAAAGCACCAGATATTGATCATATTAGGGCAGAGATGCTCAAGCCTCTTGTATCAACTCTAGGTCCTCTACTTCACATGTTCTTCAAGCTGTGTTGGAGATGGTCGTGGACGCCTGTTGTATGGGGAACGGCACAGGTGGTATCTATCTACAAAAACAAAGGAGCGCACGCAGATCCCAGCAGTTATAGACCCATCAGCTTGACCTCGGTGTTCAGGAAGCTTTTGGAGCAATGCCTGGCTGAAAAACTCCTTTCGACCATGCCAGAGTTAGACATAGCCCAAGGAGGATTCCGCGCTAGCCGCGGTACCCTAGACCAGGCTCTCTGTCTCCACGAACTAATGAGGCAATACTCTGTTCCCGACCCTGAGCGAGAGCAAGCGCTCAAACCTCCAGTTGTTGTCTTCCTGGATATCAAAGCTGCATACGATAGTGTGGATCGTAACGTCATATTGGACTCGTTGCGACCCTTTGTGTCGGAACCCTTGCTAGTGCTACTTCAAAATTTATTTAACAATATTATTGTTGATGTAGTGATAAAAAATATAGCGTCCCGTAGTATTATGCTGAGACATGGAGCCCTGCAGGGTAGTATACTTTCATCTTTCTTATATTCAATTTTTATTGATACCCTACCACGTTTACTTCGGGGAGTCTCCACCCAACCATATTACATCTGCATCCCCTCTCCCTCGTTAACAAGGTCCCTTAGCTTGCCCTCATACTGTACGTATGCATTTGACAGCCCAACAACCACTCCTTTGTCACTATTGGAGGAGCTTAGGATGGTCACCTGTAATGTGTTCAGTGTTCCAAGGACGGAGGGGGATGCACCAGACTTTCTTCCTATGGCAATGACTCCTATCAACTGTCTTCTGTACGCTGACAATGTTGCCCTTATAGGCACACCCGAAGATGTGCAAAAAATGTTGACTGTAGCCGAGACACATTCAAACCTTCTCGGGTATAAGTGGAGTCCATCCAAATGCGAGGTCCTCAATGGCCCTCCCAATTCTTCCTTTTCTTTATATGGGAATACTCTTCCCACTTGCACTTCCTTTAAATATTTAGGATTTACTTTCGCTAGCCATGGTATAGATCAAGCCGACATGTTCCTTAAGTCGCAGCAAAAAGCTTGTGCAGCAAGGTGTAAGCTTAGTAGCTCGGGTGTGCACATGAACGGTTTTGGTCTCCCTGCGGCTCCCAGAGCTTATCTCATTTTTATCCGCCCCATTATTGAGTACGGCTTAGCTATTGTTCCTGCTAGCCAGAGTGACATTCATATCTTGCAGAAGGCTCAAAATATGTGTCTCCGGACATGTATTCGACGGCCCGATGCAACGATGGGAGTTGTTCATATCGCTGCAATAGCTGCTCTACCCAACGTATTCATCCGTTCCTGTGCTCTTCAAGCCAAATTTCTTTGTTGTGCTGAAACACTACCCTCAGACTCCCTGATTAAAGCTCCTACTACGCAGCTGGACCTTTCCAAAGAAAAAACGACATGGAGTGAGCTTCGTCGTAGTGTACTCTGGAAAAAGCCCCAATTTTTGAAAGAACATCAACCTCGGTTGAAGGACCCATTAAAAGAAGCTTATGTTCTACTGTGCCAAAAAGAAATCGACATGCAACTTGCAAGCATTAACTGTCCGGTAACTGTTGCTAGAGGATTGTGCAAACCTGTCTGGGATCCGGCCTTAATACTGCCCTGCACTCGTTCAAAATGACGCCGTCTGATCAAATAGCGAATTTCTTAGCTACCACCCACACCATCAGTTGAGTGCCAATGTGGCGCTATCAAGGATAACCAAAACTACATGCTCATATGCCCCGCCACAATCACTCTCGTCCAAAAACTCTGATCTTTGATGGATCCAGCTCCTCCCCCAGAGGTTCATCTCATCGACTATGGTCTCAACTGTCTCCCCAGGTCTTTCAAATCGCTTGGTACGTGGTGCGATTGGTGGCCGTGCTTGCTTGCTTTGCTACGTGCTGTTGATAAAACCACCTCATCCTACAAACTGCCAGAAGAAAAAGCTCATGGTCAAATCCTCATCGACCTTGCAGCAAAATTCCGTGCCACAAAACCAACCCGTCCCCACCGCATCCCACTGCCCACCCAAGAACCTGTTCCTGGTGATCCGTTCCCTCATCTTCTATCCGAAATTTCCACCGTTCCTCGTCAACCCCCTCCATCTGTGCCCGCCCGAAATTGTGCCTAGGAGGACTGACTTGGTCTGGTATCGTTGTGTATTCTGGATCCATAAATGGATCGTCCGAGTTTCTAAAAGGAATCCCTCTTTGGAGCTCCTATTCCTGCTGAAATCCGTTCCCAATTCTGGTGCCGTCAGTACCTAGTTACTTATTCTCGATTCTTTCATGTCATTTATTTTTCTTATATATTTATTTCACCTGTATTCTTACCAGCTGTATTATCTATTTTAGTCTTAGTCTTTCTAAAAGCCGTTTTCCCCCACAGGGGATTTTTTACGTGCTCTCTTACTGTTTTGCTGACTATTCATCTTTGTCTCTGTCATGCGTGTTCCATACTTTTTCTTTATTTATTCTTCATTTTTTACATATTTTTTTATTCCCCCTCATATTTAGGGGGTTACTTTTATTATTTTCATTTATTCTTCAGCTCTCATCGGGTAGCCAATATGCTAAAATGCGCAAGGCCTAGAAAAACCCACAATAAAATATTTTCACCTGTCTACCGCTAATGCCCTTATTAATATTGCTCTTTCGCATAAGCTAATTTTTGCTTAAAAAAAACCCCATTACTCAAAAACAACCAATCAACCACGCATCCACTCCCACCCCTGTCCCTCCAACCTTGTTGACCTAAGTAACCTCTGTTTTATCAAGTTGCCATGAGTCCAAAGGGATCCACCAACACGAACGTCTTCAAGACAGTTCCTCCTCGACAGTCTAGGCCGGCAAAATTGTCGGCTGACCAAATGTTTTGCGACCCCAAGAACATTCGGCTAAAAGCCATTGTGGACGAGGCGCTTGCACGCATAGCCATGCACGAAGAACAGCAGAAAGTTCTGCTTAGCAAGATAGATGTAATTGTCGCAAACTTAATTGCAATCCAAGAACAGAACAACGCACTTACCGAGGAGCTCCGCGTCGCAAATGAGCACGTAGAGTTCCTACACAACCAACTCCAGCTTCAGGTACTTGTACCTGGTGCTTCAGCCTTCACTACCACCGTCCTCCCGTCCACAGAGATTGCTCCTGTTGAGAATGCCTCAGCCTCTGCCTCTGCCCATGGTCCCGTCCCCATTCCCACACCCTCACCCACCACGTTTTTGGCTGCTGCCAAGAAGGCGATGAGAAAGAAACTCAATCAGCCCAAGCTCACCACTGCCTAAGCTGCCTGCGCCCTGCAACCCAAAAGTGGATCGTCTGCGAATCCATTTGTATACCTGTCCTACCGCCACCATCTCAAGTACTCCCAAGTACGAAAGCTCTTGACAACATTCAAAATCCAACAGTCCTGTGTCTTGGACATTGCGTTCCCGGAACGCGGCACTTTCTCCCTCCTTGTGCACAACGACTTCAAGGACAAGATCACCCAGCTCTTCGCAGACATTGGCGTGTCTGTGAAGACAGATTTTGATCCCTTGGACCATCAGATCATTGCTAATCTGGCACGTGCCTGCAAACCCATGCAGGAAAACCAACAGATTACATACAAGCTACACCGCCAATATCTTCTCGCTCTCTGCCTTCGCCTCCCTGCCCCACTGGGCAAAAGTGTCATGAGGCACTTTTGTAAAGTGGAAAGTAGCTCTCTTTGCCTCCCTCCAGTCTGCCTTGAAAAGTATCTGGAAGACCAAAACCTTCCGTATGGCCCCCAAGCCAGTGCTAGTGCCATTGGAACTGCCACTGTCATGGTTATAGGATAAATAAGCTTGCTTATAGTCTTCTCTCCTTGTCCTGTCTTCCCCCCTCCTCTCTGTCTCTCTTATTTTAACCTGTATTATTCTTTCTCTTCCACTTAGCTAGTTTTATCAGTCATATTTCTGTTTTTTTCTCTTATTTCTTCTGCCACAGTTCTCTTGGGCCGCCATTATGCTAAAATGCGCAAGGCCTAGACAAATCCACAATAAAAATATTTTCACCTGTCCACCCTTATTGGTCAGTGTAGGCAGATTTGAAAATCTGATCAATTTAATCCGGTGTGACAAAGGCTGTGTAGTACACAACATTTGAAAAAAAATTGAAAAATCCGAATGCACAAAAGTCGCTAATGTGGGGAGTATAAAACCAAAAACCAAAAACCAAAAAAATCACTGGATCTGTGACTCTAACTGATCAATCTTTTCTGACATGGCTTGAACCAAAGCTTCCAATTGTTCACGTTTTGTACGCTCCTCATCCAGTTTGCGTTCCAACTCTCTGCGAACTTTGTCAACTTCATTCTTGGCAAAGTTTTTCAATTTTGTTTCCAAGACTTCATTTCCTCCTGAGGAAGCACCTCCAAATTGGAAACGCGAGGCAATGTTTTTTACACCTGCAGGTCTAGGTGCTGATTCGTCTTCATCTGCTACGCCAGATGCTGTTGCTACTGGTGGCTTCTCCTCTTTCGGTTCATGGGCCGGTGTAGGCTCCCACATACGACGTTGAACAGGCTTCAGATTGGTCTTTGAAATGTCTCCGGCACCGATAGCAAACGGAGTAGGGAATTTGTTAAAGATGGGTTTGACTGGTTTGACTGGAACAGGAGGGCTTGGGCGATCAGGCGAACTGACTTCTCTTGCGGCTGGCTCGGGAGAAACAACTTCAGGCTCCTAGATTTATTATGTTATTTATTTTGAAAATAATTAGTAATGAGAAAAGAAAGAGTTAAAGAAAAAAAGAAATAGAGGATTCTAAAATAAGAATAAGAAGATTATTGTTATATATGTTACCTGTTCTAATTCTTTTTGGAGTATTTCAGTCTGGCTTGGCTCGATGCTAGGTGTCAATGGAGCGCGACGAGCACGGGTGGGGCGAGCACGAGTAGGTGCAGTGAGTTTTGGACCAGAGGGCAAAACCAATTCTTTGGGTTCTTCTTCCTCTACATGTTCTACCTTGGTCTCTTCAGTAACATCAGTTTTGGAATTTGTTTCCTTGGCAGCTGGGGCTTCATTTTCAGCGTTTTTATCAGTAGAAGGTGCAGCTTCAAGCGTTGCTACCTTTGATAGAACAGGTAATTCCTGTGCTGGACTAGCGATTTCTGGAGATCTAGAAGCAGCAACAACTAGTTCTTCTTCATGGGATGGAATTTTGGGTGTGGACACGGGAGAGATCGCAGACTCTAGATGTGTTTCAGAAGTAGTGTGACTAGATGGGCGGGAAGGAATAGAAGGACGGGCAGGTGTAATCGGAGGAGCAACTGCAGGAGAAATAAGAACAGGAGAAGCAATATCACGTGTTTTTTCCTCTTCTTCATCTTTCTCTTTTTCTTCTACTAATTCCTCTTCCTGGTTCTCGGATTCAGATTCAGGCTTTTCCTAGATATTCTGAGTATTAGTATTAACGGAATATAAGAAGAAGGATAAACATGTTAACTTACCTCTTCTACGGGAAAATAAGCATCCGAGTTCTTGCGCTCTACATGAAGAGGGGCTGTTTTTGGTGATGTAACTTGATCAATATTTGGTGTCTCGGCTTTTGGAGAAGCAGCTTCATCTGACTTGGGAGACTCAACCTTGGGCACCTCTACACGGAGTGGCTCTGAGTGAGACAATTCAGATTTAGCTGTTTCAATGTCTTTGGCCTTGGGAGTATACACCTCCTCAGATTTGGGTTTTCCCACTCCCTCTTCTACCTCCTCCTCTTTGTGAGAAGACATTGGCTCTGGGGAAGGCTTGGGCTGCTCTTCAGTAACAATGGATCCAGGACGACTGTAACTGATGTTTGAAGCGATTGAGGGGGGTCGTGATAATTTGTCTGGGAGTGGAGGGAGGCGGAATCCACCAGTCAAAGTAGGTGAATTTAATGACTGTTGAGATCCAACGGAAGTGACGGACTTTCGGGTGCGAACAGGAGCAGGAGGAGCAGTAGGTTCATCTTCCATTTCTTTGACAAAGTTCAATGGGAATACACCCACATCACCTCTTTCGTTTCTACCTTCCCACCATCCTTCATCTGCATCTCTGTCCAGAATATCGATGTATTCTCCTCTAATCAGACTCAATTCATCTACAAATGCATATATGTATTATTATTTGTTCCTTAAAAAGAATCTTGCCTTTTATCAGCATTTCAAAATAATTTACCACCATTTTCGGCATCGTAGGGATGGAGTACAATGGCCTTTCCAACTAATTTTTTTTTAAAAAAAATGTTAAAGACTGCATACCTTAAAGTATGTCTTCTTTATTAAAGTACTTACAGGAAGGCTTTTCGGTTTGGGCGGGGGACTCGACAATAGCAGGGGATTTTGGGACTTCAGGCACTTTTGGGGGAGTGTGAACAACGGGTGTAGGTTCGACCTATCAAACATATATATATATAAATTACTGCGGTCTTACTATATCATATAGTATGCTAATTAATTAAATTTGGCCAAGTTCCCCGGGTAACTTACGTGACTCTCCTCGACAGACTTTTTGGGAGTACCAGCCTTCTTAAGGGTTGGGAAACCACCGGCCAAAAGACCACCAATACCACCTTGCTTAACACCAAATGCAGCCAACTTGAAAGCAGGCTTAGCGGGACCTAAAACCCGATGAATTGACGATCACAAAAGTTCTTTAATTATCAGTTTTCTTCTTTTGTTGGAATAAATGTTAAGCTTTTATTTGTTTATTTGTTAGCTTATTACCTTCGCTGCTATCAGATCCTTCATGTCTAGGGCTAGAGCTCATACCAATATCTGGACGACCGGGCATATCAATTTCCTCCACATACTAAGCACATTAAAGTTGTTTTGTTTTTCGTTGATGATGTTATTTGGATAATTATTTTGTGTTAATACGCTGAGCTTTTCATATATATTTCAGTATCCCCTGGGTTTCTGCACACAAAATGTGGGTAGGTTGTGTACCTGTGCAGGAAATTTGCCAATCTTTCCATTGATTTCGCCACGCATGTACCCATCATCCAATTTTTCATAGACAGTGATGATACTGCCTTTGTGAAGTGACATCTCTTCTGACGTCTGCATGGCATAATCCTCCATAACACGTGCCATACCTATAGGCTTGGCTATATAAAGTAAGAGGATAGAATATCCGTCAGTATTCGATTGTGCCCAGATATCAACCAATTTCTTCTTTCCTTCTTTTTTTTTAAAAAAAAGTTGATAAAGAACTTGGTACATATTCCCAACAATATAAATGCATGTATGTATTTACGTGGCTCTTCCTTCTCTTCTGGTTGCTCATCGCCAGACTCTTCTTTTTTGTCTTCTGAAGAAGTATCCTTTGAAGCGGTATCGGGGTCTTCTCTATCTTTTGTTACATTTACAGGACTAACAAACTAAAACCAGTGTTGTGCTAAGCAATATAATACATCAATAAAGTCAATTCCAGAATTCTTACGTTACTGGGAAAATATCCAGAAGTGCTGTTGTCTTTTGTGCCCAACCACCAGTCATCGTTGGATTGGTCGGTGACATGAATAATTTCGCCTTCTTTAAACGAGATTTCGTCTTGCTGCTGGGCGTCGTAAGCGTGATGAGCTTCGTATTGAGCGATTGTTTCTGTTTGTGTGTATGCGCATGCGTAATTCAAAGTGTTTAATGATTAAAAAAAATAAAAAAAGGAGGAAGAAGAAAGAATCAAGCGTTTATCAGGCTAAGTAAGACTAACCTGGCATTAGGCGTGGTTTCTAAGAAAGAAGAGTAATATGAAAGAATAAGGAAAAAGAAACTTTGTACCCTTTCTCTTTCTCTCTTTATATCACTCTTTATATCTATATATATTATATTATATTGTATTTCTATTATTTTTGAAGGGCGCTTTTCGTTTATGTATAAATATATATATTATGCACATAAGCTTTTCCCTCATTGGAGAGTCCTTTTGTTTTAAAAATAAAAAATCTCGTGCACTCGGTGTGTATTTTTGGCATAAAAGGAATCTCTCTTGGTTGATATGTCATTGTTCTTGGTGTGTAAAAATAGACACACTGTAAAGGGTTCAGTGCAAGAATTGCATGAGAATAATTACCCAGTAAATAAATATAGATAGAAAACCAGATTTAGTTGAGACCGTTTTTATGTCGACACAAGCACTATTCTTTAATTAATTAATTAATTATATATATATATATATATCTTTTAAAGAAAAACCAACGTAAGATTAAAAGAGTAGCTTATATTAGGCTGAGTACCTTTTAACTCCACTGTGCTATATTCATCTTATATGTCCAAATTGTCACATATAAGACACTAATAAGTAATAAGTACAAAACGCATGTACACATACATACAAAATATACGTCTGTTTTTTATAATGAATGTTTTCAATTATATATATATATATAAAATATCTTTACACAAACAAATTTTATTCAATTTAATATGTCCATATGCGTTTGGAAAGTCCAAGTTAGATTTGCCACTTGAATATAATAAGGACAACTTGTAATGGGTGCCTCTCGTCTTTCACCCGCCACAGCTCAGAATATCGCCACATGGCTATCAGATAAAGAGCGCTATGAATGTCTATTTGTCAATCGTGCTTGGAATGCAACCTTTGTACCTATAATTTACCGCACCATCCTCATCACATCTCGTAATCAACGTCGACTCCTACTTGATCGTCTAGTCAAATCAGAAAAAGATGGCTCTATAGGATTCATGGTCAAAGAACTCAGATTCACAGATAATGTTGGCATATCACGCGATGATTTTGAGTTACTTCCCAAGCTCTGTCCCTTTCTGGAGGTACTCGTATTTCCGCCGTCAGTGTGGCAACACCTACGATGCTCAAAAGTATTGACTCGTTGGAAATATCTTCACACTCTACCAGTCCTCAGTCGCGAAAAACTTGCAAACTACTGCCTTGAAATATTTGGTGACCAGCTGAGAGAGATAACATTCGACGGTCAGCTTGTCGAAGAACTTCATCAACGAGATGGATTTGTACCAATGTTTTCACAAGTACACTGGCTAACCTCCCTCACCATTTCCGGAAAACCTCGGTTTAATAGCTATCAAAACAAACTATGCTTTGATCCCAAGGCAATCAGCGCAATCCACGAAAGCTGTCCGTTTTTGCAATCTCTATCATTGTCATGGCAAACATTAGCTATTGGCCCCTCTAGCCAGCCTCACACTCTGGTCGGCATCCAACCAGCGCCTAAGATGCAAAGGCTCAAACTTCAGCATGTGCAGCTTGACGATCCCCATTGGATCCATCTGTTTGTTCACAAGTATCCAAATCTCGCTTCACTCGATTTTTACAATGTTAACTGGACAGAGAATACTCACATATTGTCTGCCAAACGACATATAGCCTATCAGGAAGCATACATAGCCATTGCACATAATTTAAAAAAGCTAAGAGTGTTAAAATTGAACAAACTGGAACAACATCTCTGGCCAAATCTGTTATTCTTCGATGCAATTGAATCGGCAGGAACAATGTTAAATACAATTGAAATATTGCCACAGCACAATTATATATCACCGACTATCACAAGCCCAGCTGCATTTCAGGAGATGGTCCAGGCTTTAACTGTGGATGCAAGAAGTGTGTCCTTCAAGATGGGTGTGGATGACATGTATCCATCTGATATGCTTGTGGTATTAGAGGCACACTGTCCTTATATTACCGAATTGGATTTGTCCGGAAGTGGAGTATTAGAGCTTGATTTGCACACAATTTCACTCGAGTCCATCTTGGATCGCTTTCTGAATCTTCAGAGCCTACGACTCCAGAATTTTGACGTTGAAGCACAGAATAAGAGAGGGCTACCAGTAGATACACATTGCTTGAAAACATTTCACCTAGCCAAGGTGTGGCTTACCAATGATCATGTATTTTGCTACCTCTCTGTGCGTTGCCCACAGCTATCAGATATGTCATTAGATGACTGTACATGGCGCACAAACAAGCCTTCGATGAATATCAAGATCGACATGCCATATCACACATTCCGCAAATTTGGCGTACGTTCTATGCACATTGCTCATCACATCGAGGGTATTTGGACGCGTCTCGAGGATGGAACAATTTTTTCGGTTACAGAAGTTAAACGTAACAGACAGATATTGGGACGAAAGGGACCCAGGGCTGGACAGAATGGATGGTACAGAATTGATTCTGGGATGACTCGTTGGTATCATCTTTACCAATTTAAGGACGGGCTACGGCTTCGAAGACTTGAATTGCGGGATATTGAGATGGTCAAAGATTATCGGATGAAGCTTTCTGACTTTGAAAAGATGTTTGAACACGACTCTATGCCAAGCAGGACTTGCTATAATCCCATTGAATTTTGGGAAGATGATATTCCTTGTGGATATTTTACCTTTCGATGTCATTCAATTGATATGTTTATTTATGATTTTGTTGTGCTTTAATAAATGTGTAGAATAATTATTTATATATGTATATAATGAAGATCAGCGCAGTACACGGCATTACATAATGGCACCGCACCGCACGGTATGCCATAACACAGCACAGCACAGCACAGCACAGCACAGCATAGAACAGCACAACATAGGGCAGCACAGGGCAGCACAGGGCAGTTTTTGTTTTTGTTTTTGCTTTTTTATTGGGTATCAATTTGGAAATGTAAAAGAGCAAGGTAAAAGGCCTTTTTGGTATAAAAGTAATCATACACACAACCTGGTTCCACTTTAGAACCCTGCTTTGTTTGAGAACAAGAGTTGAATTGGATGTTAAAAATATTATGAAACTCGGTACGACAGCAATGACAGTGACAGGAATGCTAATAATAGCTGCTAATAGATTAGATATTTCTTGAGAGTAAAACTATCTAATAAACTAACCCAGGATGTGTTGTCTAAATGTTAAAAGAAGAAAGAAAAAGTGTTTCATTCTATGGTGCTTTGACTCCAAGTAAAATAATGTATAAAATAAAATAAAACTTTAGAGTGCCTTGCGTTTGTACAAACTTTGTTTCTGTTGGTTCTCCTTTGGATTGTAACACAATTACAAGTGTTCTTGTACATTTACTCGAGTACAAGAAAGTCGCTATATATATATATATATATAAACTTGCCTTTTGATGGGTGATGGAACAAGCGCCGATTTATACTGGGCTTTCTTCTGGCATTTTATTACTTCTATGTCCTCGAAAGTACTGTACATAGTATACTTGATATATAATATATAATAAGTAAATTCTGGAATACTTTCAATCTGCAGGGTGAGCTTCCATAGACCATATCAGGTGAATGTTTGATGTTCTTTGTGTTACAGATGGTCCAAGAAACCTAGAATATACCACATTAACCCTCTTGACATCTCTAACTACAAAAAGCAAATGGCTGTTCCTCTTGGTAGAAAAAGAAAGCCCGGGAAGTTAATTTCAAGCTGAATATCTTTGATTTATATTCATATGCCGTTGCTTTACAAACACAACTTTTTAAATATTTTTATATATAAGAAATCTTGTTTCAAATACCTGATGGTTTTCTATTTATTTATTTTTACCATCGTTCATTAGAGTTTGTGGCTGGTCAAACAGCTGTCAAGAGCGGACAGATAAATATTTATATATACATACATAAATATATATTGGACCATGTGTTTCAATAATATCTATGCCTATGTCTATGTCTGGTGGTAGTAGTAGTAGTAGTAGTAGTAGTAGTAGCAGTAGTAGTAGCGATAAAGCGATGGGGTGATAGGGCAATAGGGTGGGTGAGTGAAGGGTGATAGTGGTATTGATGCCGATGCCGATTCAAATCCCAGCGCAACTCGCACAATATAAAAAGAAACATAAAAAAAAAGTCTTGGATACACACTGTATGTGTGTGTGTGTTTTTCTTTTTTTTTTCAATGATGATTTGTTCCTGCTCCTTGACTAACTCCTCCTCATTCTCTTCTTCCTTTTAATTTTTTTCTTTTTTCTTTCTTTCTTCTTTGTACTTCTTTATTTTATTTTATTTTATTTTGTGTTTTCTTTTTTTTTATAATAATTTCTCTTTTGACAACATGGCCACTGCTGCCGGAGGTCTTCCACTTGTGCCGCTTTCTTCTTTCGCCAAAGAATCTTCTGTACACGCCAGTGCATACGCTCTAGCATCCGAGACCCTTTCCAAGGCAAAACAGGCCAACCCACCCGTCTCGGTCGGTGCCCTCCGACGATTAATCGAAGATGTACGAGTCGAGGAAAGCAGTTTAGATCGTGTCGCCCGTCAGATGCAGTCTGTCCAGTCAGCAACAGCCTTCAACTGGGATCCGGATGTCCTTGCCAAACAGATTGCAATTCTCAATTGTCAACTATTTGGGTGTGCTGTTCTAAAAAAACAGTGGTTATGTCAACTAGACCGTCAACAGACAAAACTCATCCCTCTCTTGGACTTTCATCGTTACCTCACTCACAGCATTGCACACCAGGTCATCTACTGGGCGGAGCTTATGAAATGCGGTCCCCAGGCTGCCAGAGTTGCCCCACCCGTTCACCCAAAAGACAACCTAGTTTCGCATCTCGTCCGAGTCGCCTATCTACTCCTACACGCCTATCGCGATTTTTCTGGCTGTGCAGCTATCCTGCGTGCCCTCACCATGCCCGAGGTCAGACGTCTCCGCAGATTGTGGAACCATTGTCCAGCCCGGACCAAGGATATGTTCCGCGAACTAGTCCAGGTCATATCTCCCCTGAACAACTACCAGGCCTACCACGAAATGTTACGCCACAAGATCGAAATATTTTCGCGTGACCACCAACGAAGGGGATCCGCCGGAATCATGATCGCCATTCCTTGGATAGACCCTCACCTTCTGTCTATTCAGTCTATCATTACTGCTTATACCGCTGGAGACCATTTTGCTGAGGCAATGGTCGCCTCAGACTCATTTGATCCTGTAGATCTAGTGCTGTCTTCTCCCGGTGCTCGCAAACTCGCATTTGTCATGTCAGTCCTTGAACTCTGTCAACATAACTCAACAACCGAGTCCATCGATCTTATCGAAGATGCGCTTGGTCTTACTGCGACTAACAGCACCGCAAACAAGCGGGCCTCGACGCTCAAGCCAATTCACTTGGAAGGACTTCGGGTGTCTGTCATACCCATCTCGGATCTCAACCGACTCGCGCCAGGAGATCCGGTCGTCAACCATTGGCTTGTCTCTCGTGTCTATCTCAGAAAAGACCAGCTGATGGACGAGAGTATCGAAGTCGAGCCGCTCATGCACAATGAACAAATCCGATCGGACAGTGATGACAAAACCGAAATAATCATTCCACAGACCCCTATCTCCCGCCGCCCAAGCACCGTTATTCTTCTGCCCGAAGAAGATGATGTTCCCGAAGAACTTCAAGAACAGCAGGAGGATGTTGACAGTTCAGCTCAGGCTGACATCTTGCGCGAACAAGTACGCCAACAAGAACTTAGACAGGCCGAAAGCGACAAAAAAAAGCGTGAAGACGAAAAAAATGAAGCTATCGAACGACTGAGTAGGCTTCACCAGCAGGAAGAAGCAAAGAAAGCACAAGAAGAATTAGAAGCAGCAGCAGCAGCAGAAGAAGAAGAGGTTGCCCGCCAGAAGAAAATAGAACAAGATTTGAAAGAGCAACAACAGAAACAGTTTAAGGAACAACAACAGCTTAAAGAGCAGCAGCGCCTACACAAACAACAGCAACAGCAACAACAGTTGAAAGAACAGCTTGAGTTGGAGCAGCAAAGACAAAGAGATGCAGAAAAGAAAGCAGCAGAAGAAGAAAAGTCTAGACAAGAAAAAACGCTTGTGCCACACAACAAAGAATGGACAGGTCCGACTTCCGACCACACCAACCCAAGTAGCCATGACAACCATGATAATGATGTCCATGGCGAGCATGACAACTTGACTCAGGATGACAACCGTGGGAAAAGTGTGGCAGGCCGGTCTATTGAAACTACTTCTTCACAACATAACTCTACTACAAGTAAACACACAAAGAAGTCTCGTCTATCACCTACTGCCCCAGAATTCGTGCCTTTGAAAAAAACCACAAACACAATGTACCAGGCATCCAAGGAGTGGAGACAGCATTCTCCAGTTTCCTCTGTCAAGAGCAGCAAACGCAGCCAAGTGATTGATAATGATGACCAGTCTGAGGAATGGACTGGATACGTTCCCTCCAACTTAGACATCAAAGGCACTGCTGGTGGAGAAGAAGAAGATGAAGATGAGATCTGGAAAGGGTATCCTGGACCTGTTCTCAGCAATGAGTCAAATGAGACCAGTCCTCGCCGTGGGTCTTCACAGTCAGAATCGTCCGAACCATGGAAGGGATATGAGGCAACGAAGATGGAGTCAGATTGGGAGCATGAGTTAACTTTAAAGGTTAGGGAGAATGATTGGCAGGGATACACCCTAGAGACATTGGATGAAGATGAGTTGGACTCCAGCACAATGTTGAACGGAGAGTTCGAGAAGTCGCGGCAGGTTCGTGGCCGGGTTGAACCTAACTTGTTTGAAAAAAATAATTTCCGCAAAGGAATGGGAACACGCAAGAACCAACCTAATCCACAAAACACAAAACGTTTTACGCCATAAAGACA